GGTTGGGAGCAGGATTAGCAGCGGCACTGGAGGCCGGCCTGAGGGTGAAGAAGTGACTCTATGTGGAGATAGATCCGGAAGTGCGGAGGATGGCTTGGAAACACGCGCAGGTGCTGCAGCAGCGGTACCCTGCCCAGCTGAGGAAAGACGTGGTAAAGGAGGCCATGCAGAGCAAGAAATGGGATGTGAACCAGATTACCAAGGAGGACGTAGAGAAGTGGGGAAAGGTGGATCTGCTAGTAGCCGGATGGGAGTGTCAGGGTACTTATAGAGCAGGGAAGGGAAGGGGAATGCAAGATGAGCGCACTAGATTAGTGACAAAGTTGCTAGAGATCATGAGATGGACGAGGGAGGTAGGAGGAGAATACGCTTACATTCTAGAGCATGTCGATATGAGGGGTGACGCAAGGGAGCCGGTTCGGGCAGTGCGCGAGCTGGTGGAAGCAGAATTGGGGAAGGGGGTTAGCTGTGATGGGGCGCAGCTGGGGGCACGAACTCATCAGGTTAGACGGTTCTGGCAAAATGTCCTGCCAGAGGGAGAGCTGCGAGCTCGGTTGGCAAAGATAGAAAGAGATGAGACGAGAATTGTGGAAGATATTCTCGAGCCAGGGAGAGTAGCCGCACCAGTGAACAAACCGGATCACCCCTTGCAGTACCAATGCAATAGGGTAGGGGAAGCGCGAAGAGCCTGGCCAACGCTGGTGGCTTACTCAAGGGCACGAGGCTTTACCGAGCAGGATGGAAACCCCGGCCCAGGGATGGTGTATGAATACCGAAAGGGGAAGTGGGAGGAGCCAACAGCCTTGGAACGCGAGCTGGCCATGGGGTACCTTCCGGGAGCAACTGCTGCAGAGGGAGTAGGGGAGGAGGTACGCAGAGCAGCCTTGGGCAGAGCCATAAATCAACACTCGCTAAGATGGCTGATAACCAAGATGAGGAAAGGACCTGGGCAACAGGGAGGGAAGCAGGAAAGGAAAGGGGGGCAGGCAGCATACGCAGCAGTCGAGAAGCCAACCACTAACGGAGGCACTATGGAGGCGCAAGCGGGGGACAAGGAAGCAGAATCAAGCAAGGAGTGGGAGATGGGAGCGGACATAAATGAGGGGGCAGCGGAGGCAATCAGACAAGTACTGCAGCAGCAGAGAGGCACTTTTGCATACAACCTGCAGGAGTTGGGAAGGTACAAAGGGAGAGAGCTGGAGATAAACCTCACCACAGAGCTGCCCACCTACCAGCGCAGGAGGCGTATGAATGCAGAAGATGCGGCTATTTGCAAGGAGAAATGTGAGGAGCTGCTAGCAGCAGGGATAATACGCCCGTCAGAGTCGAGTTATGCAGCGGCCACGGTGGTAGCTGCTCGGAAAGATATCACGGGAAAGGTGCTAGCAAAACGGATGTGCGGGGATTTTAGGGTCTTGAACAAGATCACCAGCCCGGACCTATATCCCATGCCGACTGCAGAAGATATCTTCGATAGATTAGAGGGAGCGACAACCTTCTCCACGCTGGACCTACGACAGGGATTTAATCAAATCGCTATCAAGGAGGAGGACAAGCGGAAAACAGCCTTCCACGGAGTGGACGGGCTGTATGAATACAACGTGATGCCCTTCGGGTTGCGCAACGCTCCAGCAGTGTTTCAACGGGCTATGGATTAGGTGCTGAAGGGAATCACAGCTGCAGCTTGCTACATCGAAGATGCGCTCATCTTCAGTGAAAGTGACGAACTGCACGTGCGGGATCTGAAGCAGACCTTGGAGGCGATAGCAGCCGCGGGACTGACGTGCCATCCGGATAAATGCAAGATAGCCCGACGCACGGTGGCATATCTGGGGTTCGAAGTGAAGGGAGGCAGGTTAGCAATACAGGAAGCTAAAGTCAAGGTACTGGAAGATCTGGCTGCACCGAAGGACAAATCGGTGTTACGAGCGCTTCTCGACTTCCTGAACTACTACAGGAAGTTTGTGCCGAATTTCAGTCGTCGCGCCCATGCCTTGAACCAGCTGCTTAGAGAGGGAAAGATTTGGTAGTGGGGGGAAACGGAAGAAGCAGCTAGGCAGGATTTGTTGGAAGCGGTGAAGACGGGCACCTTGCTGCAGATACCTCGGGCAGACGCGCCATTCGTTCTTTACACCGACTGGAGCAGTATGGGGATGGGGGCAGTACTCTGCCAAGAAATAGATGGGGGGGAGCGCGCAGTAGCATTCGCTAGCCGCAGCTGCAGCCCTACCGAAGCTAACTACAGCTCATACGAAGGGGAGGGACTGATCGCCGTGTGGGGCATCACCCACTTCAAAGTGTACCTGCAAGGCCGGCATTTCACACTAGTGACCGATCATCAGCCATTGCTCTGGTTGATGAAGAGTCAAGAGCTGACGGGCAGGAACGCCAGGTGGGCAATCAAACTGCTGGGATTCGATTTCAATATTCGCCATCGACCGGGTAAAACACTGCAACACGCGGACGGGTTGTCAAGGAACCCACCTCTGATGCAGCCAGTGGCGCAGCTGATAGCGTTAGCACAGGTGGCAGAGGCAACTTGGGGGCAGGAGAAGGGAAAACAGCGGCGGGTGGATGTGTGGGAGGATCTGGAGACCATGGGGTGGATAAGAGGGGAGCCGTTAGATGACTCGGGAGTAAGCGAGCGAGCTAGGGCCAGGGGGCAGCATTACCGATGGTTTCAGGATCAGCTGCAGCTGCGCACTAGAGAAGGATGGCGAGTGGTATCACAGCCTCAGGAGAGGGAGAAGATCATGCTAAAGGTTCATGGGAAGCTGGGGCATTACGGTATCACCAGGACACGGCAGCTACTGAGCACTATGTACTGGTGGGCGAACATGAGGAAGGACGTGGCAGCAATGGTGGCAGCATGCGAAGCCTGCCAGCGAAACAAGGCTGCATTGGAGAGGGAAAGAGATGAGCTGCAGTCCCTACCGATCAGGGGTTTGGGATACAGATGGTTATTGGATTTGGCAGGGGAACTACCCCTATCCACTAAAGGGAAGCAATACATTCTGGTGATGACAGAGCATACCAACAAGTGGGTGGAGGCCAGGGCCTTGCCTAGTAAGAATAGCGGCTTGATTGCAGAGGCCTTCGTGCAAGAGGTGCTCACCAGGTACGGAGCTTGCGGCGAGGTTCTGACTGACCAGGGGACGGAATTTCAAGGTAGCTTCGAGGAGATGCTGAAAGAGATGCGGATTACCCATCGGGTGACTTCAAGGTACCACCCGCAGTCAGATGGGTTGACAGAACGGATGGTACAGACTCTGAAGAAGGGGCTGCGGGCATACGGGGAGAATAACAAAAGGAATTGGGACAAGGAGCTCCCCTGGATTCTGGCGGGATATAGGTTTGCTAAGCAAGCTGCTCTGAAGAATCTGTCACCCTACCATCTACTGTATGGCCGCGACCCCGTCTTACCAGTTGATGCACCGAAGCTGTTGTCAGTTGCAGTGGATGCGGATGATCCTAGTCTATGGGCCGAGGTAGCACAGAAGAGGGCACAGTACCTGAAGGAGTTGACGCCAGCAGCCTTGGATAATCTGCACGTGGCACAGCTGAGAGATGCACGTCGGTATCAGCAGCGCAAGGAAGAGGGTAACGGGAGGCAGCGAGAAGGTATAGCAGCAGGACAGGAAGTATACCTGAAGAAGGCAAAAAGGGATACACTGGATTTGGCCGTAGGTCCTGAACGGTGGAAGGTGAAGGAAGTGCAAGGGTCAGGAGTGTTGGTGTTGGAGGATCAACAGGGGAAAAATATGCCAGCTCATCACATATGCCAGGAGGAACAAGGGTCAGGGTGGTTCACCTGCAGGAGGGAAGGGAGAGTAAAGTGGAAGGAAGAAGGGAGAAGTAGCCCTTGAGAGGAGGCTTCAAAGGGGGACAGGTCCAGCCGGGAAGTGCATCACGACACCGTGCATCCATGCATCCATGCATCCGTGCATCCATGCATCCGTGCATCCATGCATCCGTGCATCCATGCATGCATGCATCCGTGCATCCATGCATCCATGCATCCGTGCATCCGTGCACAATGCCAGTACCATGCATGCACGTGCGTGCACAATGCCTGTACCCAGGGCTGAGCAAAGAAACGAACACCTGTTCGGTTCGCCTCGAACGTGTTCGAGGCGAACCGAACAGGTTTGTTTTTTTGCTTAAAGTGTTCGTGACAAACGTGTTTGAGGTTCGCCCGAACACGTTCGTGTTCGGGCCGCTGCTGCAATTTGCCCCGCGTCGAACACGAACGTGTTCGAGGTTCGCCCGAACACGCCTTCACAGGCGAACACCGAACACCCTTTTTTTCTAAAAGAGTTCGCCGAACCGAACGTGAACGGCTGTGTTCGTGCTGGGGCGAACACGAACACGTTTGTGTTCGCCCCTTGCTCACCCCTACCTGTACCATGCATGCACGTGCGTGCGTGCATGAGTTCACATCTGCGCTGTGCAGTGGCGAGTGTGGGTGTGGCTGTGGCTGTGGCTGTGGCTGTGGCTGTGGCTGTGGCTGTGGCTGTGGCTGTGGCTGTGGCTGTGGCTGTGGCTGTGGCTGTGGCTGTGGCTGTGGCTGTGGCTGTGGCTGTGGCTGTGGCTGTGGCTGTGGCTGTGGGTGTGGGTGTGGCTGTGGACGCATTAGTGACGTGCCCCTCAAGTCTGCCATGGCACCGCGCTGTGTGCCACCACCGCCTGCCCGCTGCTGCACGTGTGCATTGCAGGGGACTCGGAGATGATTTTGAGACGTCTCAAGAGTGTGCTGCATGTGTGCATTGCAGGGGACTCGGAGATGATTTTGAGACGTCTCAAGAGTGTGCTGCATGTGTGCATTGCAGGGGACTCGGAGATGATTTTGAGACGTCTCAAGAGTGTGCTGCATGTGTGCATTGCAGGGGACTCGGAGATGATTTTGAGACGTCTCAAGAGTGTGCTGCATGTGTGCATTGCAGGGGACTCGGAGATGCTTATTGAGACGTCTTAAAACTCACCGTGCTACATTTGTGCAGGGGACTCGGAGATGCGCTACCTGTTTGGCAACCTGCAGATGTTTCTGCACTACCGCACACGCTGCCGCTACCTCAAGCGCTACCGCCGCCAGCCCAGGGTGAGGCGGTGGGGGGAGGACAGGGCGAGGACCCAACGTGGTGCAGGCAGCTCAGGGTGAGGCGGTGCGGGCAGCTCAGGGTGAGGCGGTGCGGGCAGCTCAGGGTGAGGCGGTGCGGGCAGCTCAGGGTGAGGCGGTGCGGGCAGCTCAGGGTGAGGCGGTGCGGGCAGCTCAGGGTGAGGCGGTGCGGGCAGCTCAGGGTGAGGCGGTGCGGGCAGCTCAGGGTGAGGCGGTGCGGGCAGCTCAGGGTGAGGCGGTGCGGGCAGCTCAGGGTGAGGCGGTGCGGGCAGCTCAGGGTGAGGTGGTGCGGGCAGCTCAGGGTGAGGTGGTGCGGGCAGCTCAGGATGAGGAAACCGTTTGATGTGCTCATATCTGCTCATGGCCTTCAGATCTCATCCCACGCCTCTCCTGCTCTCAGCTTTTCATGCATCCCTTCACGTTATGGGTGCTCTTGACTCACCTTGTTGGCCTGCGTGGTGGCGTGGCAAGTGGCAGGAGGTGCACCGAGTGCGGGTGAGGAACGTGGTGTTCAAGGAGGGCCCGCCTCTGGACCCCAGTAGTGGCATGGCCTTCGCTGTCAACTACACCACCTACTGCGGTCACACCACCTACTGGGGAAATTTCTGGAGCGGCTTCGCCCTGCAGCAGTGAGTGCTTCCGCAGTATGCACACATGCTCCTCCTCGCCGTATTAATAGCTTGCACTAGTGGGACTATTACTCATAGCTTGTATTTACCCTCACTCGCTTCTGCCGGTGGTCTCCATCCCTTGCTTGAGAATGAGCGCTCTGCTGTCAATTCTGCCTCGCTCTGCATCTCATAAGAGCGCTAGCCTAGCCTCTCACGTATTGCTGCGAATACACTGTGCTGCTTGCCTCTCACATACTGCTGCTTGCCTCTCACATACTGCTGCTTGCGTCTCACATACTGCCAAGGTGCAAAAAGCGACGTTTTTTTTTCAGAATTTGGCCGTTTTAATCGATATCGTACCATACCATCGTATAAAACGATAAAAAACGGTCAGGAAAAAAAAATGGCTGAAAAAAAAACGATTGTTTTTTTCGATCGTTTTGTTCAAACCACTTTTTTATGCTTACCTGTAGGGCGTATTCGTAGCTTTGGGTCATCCGGTGTTTGTGTCATCCGAAAATTGAGGTAGCCAATCGGAAAACCCGCGGTTCGAAATTTGAATTTTTTGATTGGGTGCCGCAAATTTCGGATGACATGAAGCCGGGATGACCCAAAGCTACGAATACGCCCTTACTTTGTAATTAACATGTTTTTAACTGTGCTGGTTTACCAAACCTACAAAAGCATGAAAAAAAAAAAAAATGTGCCATATTTTTCATCCACTCGCTCACATTTTGTCTTAGTGAAGATGACAGCGATTTTTATTTAATCAGTTCACTTGATACACTCCTATTCTATATGTTCGGTTTCATTAATAAACTATGTTTCCAATGTAATTTTTCTCGTACACATATTTGTTGTATGTGTGAATGGTGATTGTTGTTATTTGTTTTGTTTTGTTCTGATATATATATATATATATATATATATATATATATATATTGTTGTTTTACTTTTTCTGTCTAACAAAAAAAACGTCGTTTTTTTCCGCAATCGTTTTTTTCCACCTTGCATACTGCTGCTCGCGTCTGCCACTGCGTGCCTCTCCCCTCCCCTGCCGCCCTGCCCGGCACCAGGGTGCTCGTGCATCCAGTGCGGCGCCGCGGCCGTGCGTTCACCTTCAACTTCACGTATGCCACGCACCTGGACTCAGACGCCCCTGTCTTTGACGACTGGCGCTCCGCCAGCAATCTCACAGGCGGCCCCATCGCCACTCACTTTGCGCCATTCGACGTGGTGGCAGCGTCCTTTGGCCTGCATGACATCACGCGCAAGAGCAATGCATCGGAGATGGCAGAGGCCTTCAGTGAGTCCCTCTCTATCTTGCCCTTCAGTGAGTCCCTCTCCATCTAGCTTTGTTGCTTCTATCATGTTTCGGCTGATAGGACATCCCCTATCGAGCCTTCATCACGCAAGAGCAATGCATCGGAGATGGCACACGCGTTCAGTGAGTCCCTCTCCATCTTGCCCTGCCCTTCTGCGCCCTCTCTATCTTTCTTCAGGCCTTGTTGCAATGACCACACTTCAAGCACGGCCATATGAATAGGTCTGAGTCGCTGCCCAACATGTCCTGTGCCCAACATGTCCTGTGCCCAACATGTCCTGTGCCCAACGTGTCCTGTGCCCAACGTGTCCTGTGCCCAACGTGTCCTGTGCCCAACGTGTCCCTACCAATGCTGCAGAGTCGGTGTTTCTGCCTTCACTCCAGTCGTTGGTTCGCGATCCGGACGGGGTCACCTTCTTTGGCATCTGGGCAGCGCAAGAGAAGAGAAAGCCGCAAAGATATCTCCATAAGAGCAACAACGTCAGAGGGTTCACGTTCGATGACAGTCTAGCCAGGTGAGTACCGTAGGACTTTGCAACTACTGTAGCAAGTCTAAGGTGTTTATGCTCCTTTGTTCAGGCCTGAATGTGTTCTTTCCTGTTGTGTTGCTGCCGTTCTGTCTTCAGGGTGTCTTATGAGACAAAGTTTGGGCATTTCGTGGACCTTCAAGCGTTAACCCTTCCTAGAGGTGACAGGTGCACTGACAGCACCCATTACTCTTGGCCTGTCACACTGGCCATGCTTGATGTCTGGCTTTCTGCTCTTTGTGAGGATGTTGTTGACAGTGACACACCAGAATCAGAACATCCTTGCTGAAGTACTGTTGTTGCAATAGATTTGGACGTATTTGGGTTGTAATACCCATTATCCTGGCATTCTAGTGTGATTTTCAACACAATCATGAATCATTGGTGCTTGTGATACACCTTTATACCGAAACATCAGTGTGCATAAAGTAGAGAATACTGGATCTTTCAGCTCTAGCACCTGAGCCCTGATCAGAAATCAGGGTTATCTGTATTAATTATTCTGATAAAATAGGGCCTGATATAGATCCATAAAGCTGGCCTCTCTCATTCACATGTTAAGCAACTCGAGCACATCCACATGGCTATTAATCGCCCATCAAGTGGCAAAGGAAGCCGAGAGTGGCATGTTGTGCAAGACCCGCATGGTGGTGCTTGCAATGTTTTAAGCAGTCTCATTGACACTCCTCTGCTTGCCTACACACCCCCATGCATCGCCCGTCAAGTGGCAAAGGAAGTTGAGAGTGGCATGCTGTGTACAACCCTCATGGTGCTGCTGACGATCCATCATGTCAGAGTTATTGCCACGTCTGAGTACCCTCAGTATGCCTTATGTCCCCATGAAGCAGTTGAGTCCCCAGGTGCATGGCATCAGACAGTCCCCAAGCGAAGTACCCATCATTCAGCCTAGAATCACCCATCAAGTGGCAAAGGAAGCTGAGAGTGGCATGTTGTGCATAGCTCTCATGGTGCTGCTGGCAACGTCCAGCAGCTGAAGCCACTCGTCCGCCCCATCAACTAGATTCTGAAGCAAGACAAACAGCGGTACAAGGAGGATGGGAATGGGGACGGGGGTAGGCGTGGGTTTGCTGTGGCAAAGGAGGCTGTGTGACCGGCATATTGTGCACGACCCTCATGGTGCTGCTTGCAACGTACAGCAACTGAAGCCACTCGTCCGCCGCATCCACCAGATTCTGAAGCAAGAATCAACAATACTTGAACAATGGTATGTACGACAACGGCACACGAAACGAGGGAATGGGGAGGGAGAAGGGGTTAAGCTAAAGCTTGTCGTGTCTGTCCTTTTTGTCGTTCAGGCAGCAGGATGGGAAGCGACCGCGAGACACTTGTCCGTTCCATCCACTAGGTTGTATCAAGGACACATACAGCAGCTGTATTCACTCGTACGCCCCATCCACCAGATCTTGAATATAAGGGCGCGCGTAATTTGGCGAAAATTTTCTAACTTTGAACTCTAACCGCTTTGCACCGTGACGGCAAGTTTCTCAATTGTATTATACTGTGTACAACCCCACTAAAAGTTCGAACCTTGGCCAAAGTTCGACACCAATTATACACGCCCTACTGAGTACGTCAGTGGAACCGGGAACGGGAATGGGGAGGAATCGTACAGATTCCCAAGGCACAGGACAGCAAAGTACAGCACAGTACAGTACAGTACAGTACGGTACCCAAGAGACGCAGTTACCTTGTCAGCAGCAGCGATGGTGGCACAAATGTGCGCCTTCTAGAAACACAACACCTAGTAAGGCGTACAGATTCCCAATGCAAGTACAGTTCAGTACAGTACTGATTTTTGAGTTGACTCAGAAGTCAGCTTTCTAGATATGAAGCACCCTACAAGGCAGCGTTGAGGTGCCATGAGTTTACTTGACGGCACCATTGGATAGACGCATGATGGAGGGTACTTGCTTGTACCTTCAGCTAGGGCAATGGTGGCATAGATGCGCGCCTTTTACAAATGAAACATCTTCTAGGGCGTATACGATCCCAAGCACACCTTACCTTGCCAGCGGCGGCAATGGTGGCACAGATGCGCGCCTTCTACATATGAATCACCCTATAGGGCGTACAGTAACCCAGAGCTGCATTTATCTTGTCAGCAGCAACAATGGTGGCACAGATGCGCGCCTTCTACATATGAATCACCCTATAGGGCGTACAGTAACCCAGAGCTGCATTTACCTTGTCAGCAGCAGCAATGGTGGCACAGATGCGCGCCTTCTACATATGAATCACCCTATAGGGCGTACAGTAACCCAGAGCTGCATTTATCTTGTCAGCAGCAACAATGGTGGCACAGATGCGCGCCTTCTACATATGAATCACCCTATAGGGCGTACAGTAACCCAGAGCTGCATTTACCTTGTCAGCAGCAGCAATGGTGGCACAGATGCGCGCCTTCTACATATGAATCATCCTATAGGGCGTACAGTAACCCAGAGCTGCATTTACCTTGTCAGCAGCAGCAATGGTGGCACAGATGCGCACCTTCTGCTCGTCTGTGAGGTCGTCTGCTGCAGTGGCTGCATCAAACAGCTGAGAGGGCAACGTGAGAACGGGGCAACGCGAGAATGGGGCAACGCCAACAGGAGAGCGAGGAAAGTAGAGGGAAAGATGGGTCGAAAGAGTAGGTGTGGACGTGTGTCCGATCTGAGTGGGCGTGGCCTTGTGCTCGTCAGTGCAGTCCTCTGCTGCCGTGGCTCGTCAGTGCAGTCCTCTGCTCTGCTGCCGTGGCTCCATCCTTCAAGTGCGGGGAGAGTGGGTGGGATGGGAAACATAGCGGGAAAGATGGGTGGCAAGAGAAGAGGTGAGCCAATGGTATAGGCGTCGCCTTGTGCTCACCTGTGCGGTCCTCTGCTGCCATGGCTCAATCTTATAACTGCGGGGAGAGTGGGACAGGGGAGAAGGAAGATAGTAGAAGGAAAAATGAAAAAAAGTGGAAGGTAGTAGATGCAGAGCCTTCAAAATGTGGGCAGGGAGGAGAAGGGAGATTTCAAGTTGTGCTCGACGCTGAGGTCCTCTCCTGCCATGGCTGGCTGCATCAAACAGCTGAGAGGGGAGTGAGACAGGGGGAGAAGGCAATGCGTGCCTGCCTTCACATTGCGTGACAGGGGGAAGGAAGCGGGGAAAGTGGGGGTAAGAGAGGGGGCAAGGGGCATTTGAGCCTTGCACTGGGTTGGGCTGTGAGGCTGCACGCAAAGGTAGCTGCACTGAAGGGATAAAGAGACAGTGGTTGGAAGGTGGAGAGGGGCGAAAGAAAGCGGGAGGAAAGAGAGGAGAACCAAGCCGGGGGGGACATGTTTGCCCAGAAAGAACGAACGAGAGGAAAAAAGAGCTAAAGAAGAGGGAAAAAAGGAAGCTAATTGGGGAGAGTATACAGCAAGTTAGCTGTCAGGAGGAGCGTCAGTGACAGCAGACTGGAAAGTGGCAAAGAAAGTGATAGTTGGTTACACTAGATTGTAACACCAGAGTATTTGGGCAGAAGGTTAGCCGTCAGTAACAGAAGCAGTGACAGCAGGCTGAACTTTGGAGAAGATGATGGTGGTAACCCTATGCTGTGTTACCTGGGGAGAGCTTTGCGCAGCAGGGTAGCCGCCAGAAACTGTGGTAGTGATGGCAGACTGGAAAGTGGTAGAGACACTGGTGGTAGCATTATTTTGTAACACTGAAAGGTTGCAACTGGAAGAAATTGATTTTTTTCGGAAGTGTCTGCGCAGCAGGGTAGGCATCAGTAATAGCGGCAGTGACAGCAGCCTAGAAAGTGGTAAAGTTTCAGTGGTTGTAACCTCTGAGAATGATTTACCTGGGAGAGTATTTGCGCAGCAGGGTACCCATCAGCAACAGCGGCAGTGACAACAGACTGAACAGCTTCAAAAGCACCTCCCCTGCAGGCCTCGAGGAGGGAGGTGACAATTGAGGCAGGTACCACCTGCACGAAAAGGGAGACGGAGAAATGGTGGGTGGGTGGGAAAAAACAGGGACAAGGGAAATGACTTGCCATGGGTGACAACTGATGCAGGCACGATCTGCATGGGGAGAGAAAGGAGACCAGCAGGAAGAATGCAGTGTGAGAGGGAAGGTGAAATATGGGGAGGAAAGAAGGGAGGAAGTGAAGAAGGAAGGAAGTGTGAAGGAAAGTACACGCCAAAAAAGGCAGATTCATCAAGGGGAGGTGATATCTGAGGCAGCTATTGACTGGTGGAATGAGGCTGTTATGTTAACTAACATGTACTATATTCAATATGAAGTTGCCAATCTGCTGTGTGGGTGCAAAATTTTCAATTCTGATTGGATGCCGATTTTATCGTTTCCTTTCCTTTTCTTCAACCCACTCCTCGTTTACTTGACATATCCAGCAACAATGCTCCCACATTCTATTACACCGTGGTAGGAAAGAATTATGGCACGCATGCATAGCAACAGCGGAGAAACTATCTAATTACATACCCCTGACACCTCGATGATGTGTTGCGCCGAGATGGACGAGCCTTACAGCCTGGCCGCACTCTGCAGTCATGACATGGCTGTCAGAATCCCAGTCACTAACCACTGGGATAAAAGGGCTTGTTTATATAGCGGGTGAGTGCGCCCATAACCCCCCAGGCCGACGTGCCTGTAACCCTTCCCTAGGATCATCGGGGATCTCCAGTGGACCTCTGACACCCCCCCGCACTGGGATGCCCGAAGTGCACACACCGGGAATCGAACCCGAGACCTTCGCTCTGATACCATGTCAGAATCCCAGTCACTAACCACTGGGATAAAAGGGCTTGTTTATATAGCGGGTGAGTGCGCCCATAACCCCCCAGGCCGACGTGCCTGTAACCCTTCCCTAGGATCATCGGGGATCTCCAGTGGACCTCTGACAATGGCACGACACAGTAGGAGCAGGGAAGAGGGGACAGATGAGGGAGGCATCCCTTCCATAAAGGCGAGATCTCAATTATGTGTTGCGCCGAGATGGACGAGCCGTACAGCCTGGCCGCACTCTGCAGTCATGGCATGGCACGACACAGTAGGAGCAGGGAAGAGGGGACAGACGAGGGAGGCATCCCTTCCATAAAGGCGAGATCTCAATGATGTGCTGTGCCGAAATGGACGAGCCGTACAGCCTGGCCGCACTCTGCAGTCATGGCATGGCACGACACAGTAGGAGCAGGGAAGAGGGGACAGAGGAGGGGGGCATCCCTTCCATAAAGGTGAGATCTCAATGATGTGCTGCGCCGAAATGGACGAGCCGTACAGCCTGGCCGCACTCTGCAGTCATGGCATGGCACGACACAGTAGGAGCAGGGAAGAGGGGACAGACGAGGGGGGCATCCCTTCCATAAAGGTGAGATCTCAATGATGTGCTGCGCCGAAATGGACGAGCCGTACAGCCTGGCCGCTCTCTGCAGTCATGGCATGGCACGACACAGTAGGAGCAGGGAAGAGGGGACAGACGAGGAGGGCATCCCTTCCATAAAGGTGAGATCTCAATTATGTGCTGCAAGCAAGGCAAGTTGGGAGGACGGGAGAGGTGGCAGGGCAGAGGAGACGCGAGACAGGGAAGGGAAGGTCAGAGTGATATTAGCGATGCCTGAATTCACCCTCTGACACCCAACTCCCAGCTCATGTCAAGTCGTGAGTCGTGACATGACACCATCACTAGCACACCATCCCTCCTCCACTCCACCTCACTACTCCACTCCACCTCAGTCCACTCCTCTACCTTGCACCCACCTGCAGGGTCGTAATAGCTCGCATGCGATCGCCCTCTGACACCCAATTACCAGCTCATGTCAAGTCTGGAGATTTCTCAAAACACCAACATTCTTATGGAATCATGCGAACATCTCATATCATCCCTCCCTCCCTTCTGCACACCCACACCCACCTGCAGCGCTGTGATGGCTCGCCTGAGGTCGCCCTCGGACACTTGGCTCAACGCCTCAAAGGCCTGCAGCATATGAGACACAAGAAAAAAAAAAATTTTACATGATGAAATTTTCAGCCCTAGTAGCACAGTGGTAGTGCGTTCGTTCGTTAGCGAAAGGTTCAGAGTACGATCCTCTGCTGAGGCAGTGTCTTATGCATTTCACATTGCTACCGCTCATCTCCTCCACCCTACCCTGGCGATATATTCACGTCCCCCTCTAAGTGTATTATTATTATTTTTCCCTCCCTAGTCTGAGCCTGTCAGTCACCTCCTGTCCCCAACAATGCTCGCCCGGCAGGCAGTCAACTATATTAAGAGTCCAGCTTGAATGGGACTGTGATGATTCCATTTCAACTTGTGTCTGGTTTTTCAGTTACCTCTTGTGCCAGCCCAGCAGCCCAGCAGCCCAGCAGCCTAACAGCCCACCTAGCAGGCAGGCACCTTATCTGAGAAGACAGTGGATGCTCTCACGGGAATGTTTGTTAGTGTGACGCCAGCTCAGCAGAGATCGAGTTTACATGGCATGGGAAAACAACGTTTGCAGTCCGCAATGTGTCTGAGCCTGTCAGTCGCCCTCTTGCCCCACCAGCAACCCACCCTCTCGTATAAAAGCGTCACGTGTTCACGGTCGGCAATGTGGCGGAGCCTGCCAATCATCACCTGCCCCACCAGAACCTCACCCCACCCCAGCCCACCTTGCCTTACCTCCCCTAACAGCGTTAGGTGTTCGCTGGTGGCTGTCTCAGCCAGTCAGACATCACCTGCCCCACCAGCAGCCCACCTCAAGTGCAAGATACCAGCAATGCATGAACACAGAGTGCAGCTTACCTCCTCTGACAGCGTGAGGTGTTCACAGTCGGTAATGTGTCGAAGCACACAACCTTCTACCTTTTAACTAAACAAAGTCGCTGCCATGTAAAGAGATGGCTCCAACCTGGGGCTCCATCTGACAGCGTGAGGTGTTCACAGTCGGTAAGGTGTTGGAGCCGGTCAGACATCACATGCCCCACTAGCACCAGGTCACCAGCCCCACACCAGGTCACCACGGCAAACAGCAATTGTAACGCACCTCATCACTCAGCGACAGGTGCTCGCAGTCGGCGATGTGTCAGAGCCGGTCCGTCATCACCTGCCCCACCAGCGGCCGGAAACGGAACTTGGCACAGCGAGAGGCCAGCGGCTCAATGATTCTGATGCGCATCGGCGGAGGGCAGGAGGGGAGGAGAGAGGGGAGAATACACCTTTTAGACGCCTCAAAGCGAACACCTGTTGCTGACTTATAAATCTGATGTGAGTTGGTGGGGAGCAGGGGGCGAGGAGATTTGGTATGAGTTTAGGGCAGTGAATGGGCAGCACAGAGGAAGAACACAATACAAATGGCAGATTGAAGACTCTCCAGTATGGAAGCACATCGGACACTCCAGCGCACGTTCTCAAGTTAAGTACTCACAAGGTGACTTTTGAGTCGACTCAGAAGTCAATCCTGCGCACGTTATCAAGTGAAGTGCTCACATCATTGAAGAACGATAGGTGTTCCACCAGAGTAAAGCACAGAGCAGGTTCTCTATCCGCCAAAATGGAAGCAAGTCCGTCCGACACTCCACTACAAGATTTTTTTTTGCTATTCTCACTGTTGGCCTGATGCACAGAAAATTATGGATAGCAAAAAAGGACAATCCTTGCCCACCAAGGTAATGAGTGACCTGCTGATGTAATTGCAGATGAAGACAAATCTTGTGACGAGCGAGTGGAGCTCCATTGTCCGGCGAAGAGCGTTCTGGTTGGAGGAGAGGAGAGGAGAGGAGAGGAGAGGAGAGGAGAGGAGAGGAGAGGAGAGGAGAGGAGAGGAGAGGAGAGGAGAAGGGGGGGAAGTAGTGGGAGGGAGGGGTGAGGTGAGAAGAGAGAGGTGAGGAGTGTAGGGGAGGGGGGACGAGAGAGGTGAGGAGAGGAGGGGAAGGATGAGGGGAGGGGAGAGGAGAGCGAAACAGCGGAGAGAGGGGAGGTGACGAGAGAAGAGGTGAGGAGAGGAGAGGAGAGGAGAGGAGAGGAGAGGAGAGGAGAGGAGAGGAGAGGAGAGGAGAGGAGAGGAGAGGAGAGGAGAGAAGAGGAGAGGAGAGGAGAGGAGAGGAGAGGAGAGAAGAGGAGAGGAGAGGAGAGGAGAGGAGAGAAGAGGAGAGGAGAGGAGAGGAGAGAAGAGGAGAGGAGAGGAGAGGAGAGAAGAGGAGAGGACAGGAAAAGTGAGGAGAGGAGAGAAGGGGAGAGGAGGAGACGAGGGGAGGGCGAGGGAGAGAGAGACGTGAGGAGGGGAGGGGAGAAAAGACTGCTTCGCAAAGATGACACGCACAATGTTCAGCAAGCACTATTCCACCCATTCTGACCATCACAAACCATACCAACTGTTCCGCCCCATTCTACCCAATTTTTGCCATCTCTTAATCCTCATCCTAACCACTCTGACCCGTCCACCTCCAAATAACACTCTCACCCTCACGCATTCCCTCCCCTGTTCTCCCCTCCCTCTCCTCTTTCCTCTACCTCGCTCCCTCCCCCCCACTCCCTTTTCCCTCATCCTTTCTCTCCCCCTCCCCCATCGCAACACACCTGCGCATCCTCCGCCATGGAATAGGCTTCATCAAGAATGATCACCTTTTTCCTCTTCCGTCCGCCCTTCCCCATCTCCCTCCCTTCCCCCCCTCTCCCCCCCCCCCCCCCCCCCCCCCCCCCCCCCCCCCCCCCCCCCCGCCGCTCATTTCCCCACCTGAGCATCTTCAGTCATAGAATCGGCCTCATCAAGAATGATCACTTTGAACAGAGGGCACGGGTAGCCGCTGTGGAGGGGGGTGGGATAATGGGTAAGCAGCAGAGGAGCACCTTTTGAGAATTCTTGAAGCAAAGGGGAGTGCCTCGAGCAACAATCATCCTCCTCACCTCAGTCATGGAGTGGACCTCATCACGAATGATCACCTTGAACGGCAAACAGGGGTAGCCGCTGGAAGCAAGGGGTGAAGAAATTATGGTGGGCAAGGGGAAGCGGGTCGGTGGAGTGCCATCCGCCACAAGCAACAAGTATCCTCCTCTGTCGT